TTTGGTATATCACCACCATCCATCTTTTGTCCAATTCAAATAGAAACCATCAACAAGGAAGAAGAGCTTCGCGTCGGACAACAAATGTATGAAGCTTTGAATGAAAACCAACGTCAGGCAGTGGATGAGATTCTGGAAGCGTGCTACAGACGATCAGTAACTACTGCTTCATGTTTGTTTATAGATGGACCTGGTGGTACAGAAAAAACACATATGTACAACACACTGTGTCGTTTATTCAAAGGGCAAGGTGTCCGTGTTCTAACAGTTGCATGGACAGGGATTGCTGCAAATTTATTGCCTGAAGGAAGAACAGCACATAGTCATTTCAAGCTTCCTGTGTCTCTCTTGGAGACATCTACGTCCAGTATTCGACCAAACACCAAGGAAGCCGCGGTAATTAGAAAGGCTGACGTCTTGATTTGGGACGAGGCACCAATGGCTCCATTGTATGCCCTTAAGGCCGTCGATATTCTGTTTAGAGATATAATGAATGTCAATGTGCCTTTCGGGAGAAAAATCATGGTGCTTGGAGGAGATTTTCGTCAAGTTCTTCCAGTTGTTCGATTCGCGAATAGATCACAACTGGTTGCTGCAAGTCTCAAGAGCTCGGAACTCTGGTCTTACTTCAAGATTATTCGTCTAAACAAGAACATGAGAACAGGACCAGGCGAAGAGGAATTTTCAGAATGGCTCATTAAGCTTGGCAACGGTGAACTACCATCAAAGGAAAATGACGAAGTCGAATTGCCTGCTGCCTGCATATCAGATAGTAATTTAGCTGACGAAGTATTCGGCAAGCATATCTTTCTGGAAGATATTCCGAATTTGTGTGATAAAGTGATTCTGTGCCCCAAAAACGAGCATGCTCTTATGGTAAATGAGCAGGTACTTCAACGCTTGCCCTGCATTGAAAAAATGTATACAAGTGTGGATGAAGTCGAATGTGAGGACGGTGAAGATGTCAGCAATTATCCAACAGAATTTCTGAACAGTCTTACGCCATCAGGAATGCCGCCTCATAAGCTCAACCTAAAGGTCGGTGCAATTGTGATGCTTCTTCGAAATTTAGATGTCAACCGAGGGCTTTGGAACAGAACTCGGCTTATTGTGAGATGTTTGCATAATCACACGATCGACTGTGAAGTTGCCACTCTGAAAAAAAAAAAGGTTCCATGCGGAACCAAAAAGGGCCAATAATGGTTTCGTGCGTGATACGGAACTTAAAAATAGTTTCGTACATACTACGGAACTTAAAAAAGGTTTCGAGATTTGCAACGAAAGCTAAACCTTTTTGAAGGTTTCGTAGATTTTCTCTAAACCTTAAAAAAAGTATCCTAGACTCTCTATAAGTCTTTTGGAAGCAACTTAGGTCCATACGAAACCTCTAAGAAGGTTTCGATTTCGTTGCAAATTAAGTTCCGTGTGGAACCTTTTTTTTTTTCAGTGCACAGGATCCAACAAAGAGCATCGAACTCTTATACCAAGGATTAGTTTGACACCTTCCGATACATTTTTGCTTTTTAAGCTACGCAGGCACCAGTTTCCTATTCGTCTCTCATTTGCTATGACTATCAATAAATCCCAAGGGCAAACGTTCAATAGATTGGGGCTACTACTGCCACAGCCAGTATTCAGTCACGGTCAACTCTACGTTGCTTTCTCACGAGTCCGCTCACTAGCATCTATCCGTGTGCAAGTGATTCAAGAAAATGGAAATAGTAAAACAAACACAACTAGAAATATAGTTTTTCATGAAGTTTTGTAAATAGTGTATATAGGTTTTGTAAACACTGTACATAAGCTTTCTCTGTATTCCAGATATGTTTTGTAAATATCGTAGATATATGTTCAAAAAATAAAAAGGCCCTCCAAATACTCTCTCAAAACCGCACTTCAGACTTTTGATTCTATTGAAATACATTCACTTACTAACTCTACATCCTTACATAGAAAAAAATGAAAAAAACAAAACAACCGTGCATTTTGCACGGGGTCCCGGTAGTCACTTAATAGGAAACACTAATCACTTACCGATTAAAACACGTTAAGGACAATCGACGGATTCGATAGATGGTTACTTACCCAAATGAATCAACATTGATTCAATTTTGTTTCGGATTCATTGATTCGAATCAAAATGACTGTCATCTGAAGGTTCTCACTACAGAGATCATATGTTATAAAATCATAGTTGCTCTACATATCTTGACAGTCAAAAAATCGACAAGAAATCTGCTTAGATATGATCGATGTATTGCAGTACAATGTCTCGTTTCTAGTTTTTCTTCGAATGAAATTAATATCATCATTTTACTATAATATATTCAGATCCATAATAATAGAAAATAATTTGAGCTAGTCAATACTATCTTAGATAGATATATTGCATAAACAAAAGAGATTTTTATGTCAACAGAATATTATTCGCGCTCATCGTTCATTGATGCCAGTTCGATGGATGCTGAAACGAAACGAATCGAATCATCGAAGAACAATGTTCAGCATTCGACCTTAGATCGTTCAACAATATCAACTTCTATATGTCACGACAATGAGCTAGAATATTTCAAGTACGATATTTATTTGTTTTTCTCAAGTAATGAATCGACATGTTACATCTTGCTATTCTAGCATTAATCATATCTGTACGAAGTCATCACCAATTGATACACAACTACGTCTGCTTCCATTAGACACCTTATTCGATTCAAATATATATTTAGACAATACGACAACCGAGAATGATAAGAATCAAATTTCAAATAAAGTTCAAATAGTATCACCATCATCAGTCATGGTAACAACATATTCGAATCCACCTTTCAATCAAACAAGTAGAATTGCTGATCATGATCGTTCTTATACTACATATGGTGATCTCGATCGACAAGCTGTTGTTATGCTTTGTCAATTTAATCTTCAAGCCTCACCATCATCTTCTCGTTGTAATGAATCATATTCAACGCGAATTTGCTATTGAAAAAATTCAATATATTTGTGTTGGTGAAGCAAAAACTGAAATTGACCATCAACAAACTTCAGAGATACAAATTATTTTTAAAAACAAAATCAATAAAAAACACGATTTCTTGATTCAATTACTCAATCATTGTGTAATTATTAAGTGACACATAATAATCTTGCATGGAATGAATATATTAAGAAAAGTCTAAATTTTCTGGAATATGGTCAGTTTCAAACAATAAAAACACGCAGACATCAACAACGGCCATCATCATCATCAGTATTAACAACAACAACAACAACATCTTCTATTCGAATTTCATTCGATAAGAATCAGTCATTAATACTAAAAATAAAAACAAACGTACGAAAGCAAACAGAAGAACGACGTAAACATAATAATCGAAAAACTGAACAAAGAATTAAACGAGCACAAACAAGTATTGTTTTGAAAGATGAACCTATGGATAAAATTCACACGTATCAATGAAAATCTAAACTTGTTTATTCGCGAGTTTCATTTTACAATATTAGAAGATATATTTAAGAATTGATAATTATTTTACAGTTTATCTTTTCATTTCTTTTCCATATTGCTTAAACATGTACCTACGTCACTTTCTTTTGGTTTAATTCAAACAACATATCGTTTTGAACGAACTTTTCTATTTATAGTATTAGTAGTTGTTGTTATTGTTGTTGTTTATTTCCTTATGATTTTTTTCCAAGGGGGAAACAGCAGACTTTTAGACTTCAAGTTACTTCAAGTTACTTTATAGGTACTTCGTTGGTACTTTGAGGTACTTGAATGATACTTTGAGCTACTTGATTGGTACTTTGAGCTACTTGATTGGTACTTTGAGGTACCTGAATGATACTTTGAGCTACTTAATTGGTACTTTGAGCTACTTGAATCAACTTGAAATGACTTTGTGCTACTTGAAGCTACTTGGAATGACTTTGTGCTACTTGAATCTACTTGAAATGACTTTGTGGTACTTGAAGTTATCATTTCTAAATGTTAGTAGTTCAATTTCTCACATTTTTGATAAATGACCGTGTAGCATTGAAATACTATATGTAAGTGAACGATAAATACACAAATAATAGTACGAAATGTGTGTTAAAACAATTTATTTAAGAAAAATCAGACAAGAAACAAAGCATAATCGAATAGGCGCATGAGTTTAAAAAAAATTGAAACTAGAGAAGTAATGTTCAAGTACGACTTCTTTTTGTTGAAGGATATTGCTGTGATTGTGACGTCATACGACGTTTAGCAGTATGTGATAACTGGGATGATGAAGCTGAAACAATTTGAGGTGCTGTTTGTGTACCTATTAATTCATCAACATATACTTCCATTGATGATGTACGTGATTGAGATGATGGAATTGATGAAACAGAAATTGTTGATGGCTGTTGCTGTTCTACTATTATTTCTTTTGCAGCCTTTTTTATTTCTCTCATATGAGTACATCCGATAGATTGCAAGTGTTTGTAATAATTTGACATTTGTATCTTCTTATCATTGTTACATAATGCAATGATTTTACCGCACTTGCATTTAATACTGGCTTTTACGTCAGAATTTTGATCAACGTCAATATTTAATGTAAAATCAATGTCTTCTTCTAATTGAAAATTTTGTAAATTCAAATTTTCTTTGTTTTCATTACACCGCTTATTTATTAATTTAAGAACATGTGTTTTATGATCGGATAAAGATAATGAAGAAATTCTTTTTTCTTGCACTGGTAATTCCAAAGAAGAGATTGATGATACATTGAGATTCGATTGCTGTTGTTTATTTTTCTTCGGATGTTTTAGCTGTTGGGTTAATTTTTCTTATAAAGCTCGTTTTAATGAATGAAATCCCGAAATCACACCAGGCTTGATCAAATATTTATCTTTTTTCATTTTAAAGCATAGTTGTTCTTTCAATGTATCTAATTCTTCATCTTCAATGTCTTGATTAAAAATATCTAAAGGATCTTCAATCGTTATTAATGAAGATGTTGTTCTTACTGCAATTTTAATTAATAACTTAGCCTCTGATTCACCGAGAATAGTTTTTATAAATTGAAAAAATTCGTAACCAGATAATGTCAACACATTTAATGGTAAACTATCAAAATGATAAGAAATCGGCATGATGCTGTTTTTCTGAAAGTGAAGATAAAAATGTAAAAGAAAATATATAAAGAATAACATTATTATTCTAAAAATGTATTCTAAACATAAACAGCGAAAATGAATAACTTAACAGAAAATGTAAAAAGATACGAATAAACGATTCGTGCATAAAATCAGCCAACTGTAAACGAGACGTATATATGAAATTATTTTTTTCCAGCTAACTTCTCATGTATTTCATAAAATGGTGACACCTGTAAATAGAATATAGTAAGAAGGGGTTCTGTGATTCCTAATGACTTCTAAAATGATATTTATTAGTTGGAAATGATTATCTCAAATTACTTACATATATGTATATAATAATAGCTTTTAAAATATACTCATTTGATTAGAATTAATTTAATATGTGATATCCGTTGTTATAATCTACACTTTTGTGAAATGGATTTTCAACATGAATATATAAACGATCAATTCATTATCAATCTGATGATTGCATGTGGACTCTCTGTTAATTATGTATAGCAACATCGATTTTCATAGCCGTGTTTTATTAATTATGCTTTATCAAGTCTTTGTTCTTGTGAACTACTTTATAGAAATGTATTTTATTTTTAGGTGCTTCTACATTTTCCTTTCTTGTTAATATTGATTTACGAAATGTTCTCGTTATTGATCTATTTTTCTTGTTCAATGTATAATGAACGATCGTTCATTTCCTGTAACTAAACGTTGCCAGAAAGTTTAGCTTTACAGTTTAATGTGCTTCCTAAAGAAGTTCCCTTTTTAAAATGTATCTATACAGCTAGCTTTAAAATAAACTTTCTTTGTTGGTGTTCTCGTTTAAACTTTTGAAGATTTTGTTATGCTATTCTTTAATGAAGTCTTATATCATTCTCTATTTAGTATTGGTTTTGCAGTTACACTATACTTGATTCATAATCGTGTGATTTATAACTTTGACAAGTAATTGAACAAAAAACAATTTCAGTTGCTGTTGGATTTTCAAACTGTAACGTATCTATCTTGAGAATCGTGCAGTATATGTTCAGTTACATACCTATTTCAGATAAATAGTCAATATTTTGCGAACAAAATGAGCTCTCATGCCGACCGTGATTGTTTAGTTGATGCTTCGGTTTTGCCGAAAGATTTTTTTTCACGTATTAATCATGAATTTTATGATGTTGTTAAATTTGTTGCCGGAGATTTGACGGTTAAAATTTTACGTATACAAATGATTAATTCTGCAGGAAAGCTATTGAATACTCCTGATGTATTCGCATTTTTGCGTGTTGATTCAGAAGAAACAGATGCAATTAAAATTGAATCATGCTTCAAATCTAAAAATGGTCAATTTATAATTAAACCAGGTATTAAAAGTGGTGTATCCTACTTGATTAAACTATTACAAGAAACATTAAAAGAAGAACGAGAATTAGCATCGAATGAAAATAATGAAACTCACCAAAAATATACCAATAATGATTTTATTGATAAGCATTCACTATTAAAATCGATAATAGAATGGTATCAGGTGAATGATTTAAACAATACTAACAAAACAAACGCATTTTTAACGTCGTTTATTGACAATTTAATAAGCAACTGTACACGATCTCCCAATCATTTTAGATATGATGAACCAACAAAGAAATTTGCAATCTGCTTATATGTTCTAGGTGGTAAACAAGTCTATGAGTTTATTCGTTTAAATCTATATGGATCTATTCCTAATTTGACTACAGTCTGTGAATTAATCAACAAATCAGATGCAGCCCTTAGTGAAGCAGAATTTAAATTTGAATCTCTTCAACAATTTCATTCACGTTTTGCCTTTTGTTCTGAAGACACTACTGGGGTAATTCGTAAAGTTGAATATGATTCTTCAACCAATTCTTTTGTCGGATTTGCAACACCAATTGTTGATGGTATTCCATTATCACAATCGTATCAAGCTGAAACATTTAATGATTTAAAAACAATCTAGGAAACGAATGACATAGCACCATTATTAAATGTACATATGCTTCAAGGCATACCAACTGAAGATAATGCAACATACATGCCACGACCATTTTTATTATCAGCATACGGTATTAATAATAAAATTACTGCAATGGAGGTGTTAAATCGGTGGATGTATATTTTTCGAAATTGTTTAGACAAAGGTGTTCGTCTTATTGGTTTTTCGACAGGTAAATTTTAAATTATTCATGTTTATTAAAATGTTGTTTTCATTTGTACACAGATGCTGACAGAAGATACGTAAGCGCCATGCGTCTTGCAAGCGGTTTTTTTGCATCATTATCTGATTTACAATTAGATAAGCATCAACATGGATTTAAAATAGATATACCGAAACATTGGAAATGGTTTTTTCTTCGACAAAATCAACTCTTCTTGTTTTTTCAAGATCCAGTTCATCTAGTCACAAAATGGAGAAATAGGTTACTATCATCGACAGCAAATTTGTGTTTTGGAATTGATAAAATTAGTATTTCACAAATTGAAGCATTGATCAATGATAGTCAAGATACAAAATTAGATCATGGTTTAACAAACAGCGATATTAATCCAAAAAGATCGGCAAAACTATCGCTCATGTGTAAAATTAATATCAGATGATGTAATAAACCTTCTAAACGGTGATGTGGATACAAGCGGAACCATCATTTATTTAACTTTGCTTAAAATGATAGTGAAAGCTTATATTGATAAATCAACTTCTGTCAGTGAACGTAAGTCTATTTTCTAACTTTGAAAACAAGAAATCTTAACTGTTTGATCTTGAGCATCTTTTCTATGCATTTAGGTTTACAATCGGTGTGATGCGTTGTGTTTGTGTGTCGTATATGGTGGTCTTGGTTAAAATTAACGTCGTTTTCCGGTTCATCAAAAAGCAAAGCGAGAAGTGAAACAACAAACGATACAAATAAACGCTTTATTTCAAAACCTGCATACTTATCAGTTGAATTAAATGCACACAATCTACTTTACTTGGTGCTTTTAGTGAAACAGCATGATTTACCTAAACAAGCACTGCTCGGTGTGCATTTATTCAATTCTCAACCATGTGAATCAATTTTTAGAGATGCACGATCACTAAGTGGTTCATTCTCGACCATAGTCAATTTCACTGTCAACAATTTTATTCGACGTTCACAAAAACTATCAATATTGAATCAAATTAAATATGATCAATCGGAAAACAATCTATGCTTTCCATTACATTACAAACACAAACACGACGATTCATTAACATCTCCAGATCGATTAGATGAAATAGATACATTAGATGTCGAACTAGTTATATCAAACGCATACAATCAAGCAATCAATATTGTGAAACACTCAAAAATGTTACAAACATTAACTCGAAATGGTATAACTGATATAGACAACTTGGGTGAATTTGTATTCGATAGCTTAAGGAAAACTTCGAAAATGTTTGGGCATTCATCACAAGCAACAATTGATCACAATGAGGAGTTGGAATCAGATGATGATGAACATGGTGATGAAGATGACGAAGATAATGATATGGAGGATGATGGACAAGATGACTTCGATGAAATATTATCAGATTTTAAAAACGAAGACTGCAATGATGATGCAGAGGTATTAAATTCAACCAGAGCCAACTTTAATGGAATAAAGATCGTGGATAATATTAATCCGATGTTAAAATCCTCGTACTTCAAGCTCAAAATAAATGACAAAATTAAATACCTTCACAAACAATCGGCCTGTTGGCTGTTATCAAATACAATAACTAAGTTATCGAGTGATCGTTTAACTCGAGTCATGCAGCAAACAACTAATAACAGTTCATAAAGTTCTTGCTTCTGTTTGTTCTTTTAATAATGTTTTTTGTGTACTTCATAAATAAATAAACAACATTTTATATTTCGTCAACCTAGTTTCATTTCATTTAATGAACTTCTAGTTTTTGAAGAATTTTTTTCTTACTATAATATATTTCTAGGTACTTTATTGTACTTGATCGTACTTCAAAAGACTTTGAAGGTACTTGGTGGTACTTGGCAGATACTTGATGGTACTTGACAGATACTTGACAGATACTTGACAGATACTTGATGGTACTTGACAGGTACTTGATGGCACTTGACAGGTACTTGAATGAACTTTGTGATACTTTGAATGTACTTTGTGATACTTTGAATGTACTTTGTGATACTTTGAATGTACTTGGAGCTACTTCTACGTACTTGAAGTTACTTGAAGTTACTTTTGTACTTTGGTGTACTTTTTTACTTCAAGTCTGCTGTTTCCCCCTTGATTTTTTCGTCTATATCTATGGGCTATAGATTATTTCAAATTCATGTTTTACCTTATCTTTTTCATATATTTTTATCCTAGCATAGCATTGATTATCATATTATATTGTGCAATTTTCTGTTATCGTTTTCATTTGATTTTATATTAGCTCTAAGAATCATTCATCTAGGTCGTATGATCGTGATCCGTATTACATTGATTATATTTTAAAAGTGAATTGAATTGTTCAATAAATTGATTATCTTTCAGACTGTATTATTCATGGCACAAGAACCGAATCAGAATTCAACATTTGATGAAATCGATAAATTACTTGCTGATAACGAATTTTGTCAAGCAGTACAAGCCTGGCAAGATAATACAGGTAAATATAGCAATAGAAACGAAATTTATTGAAGAATATCTTACTATTTTCACTATTCTAAAGAAGACGTTACCGTTCATTCACCAACACTAAACATATCGGATGCTTTAAATACCACTTTCGTCGATGTATGTATCATTCTTCATGGAACTAGACTGAACAGTGAATATTTTTCTTTTTTTCTATACAAATAGGAGACCAATGTCAATGAACATGAACAAATTAATTTATCTCAACAACAAAGTGAAGATTTTTTTTTAAGAAAAATTTAATTTTATAATTATCAACGTCAGCGATAATTGATCTTTGTATACCTTCAACACTGACAATCGACTTATGTTCACCTGAAATAACATCCAATACGGGGTGCGTCCTTTTTCGTCCTTATCTTCCTTACATTCTGACACATGATTAAGGACGAAAAAGGACGCACCCCCAATACGAACACTACTGACTCACCACTTCGTTTAAGTCCAAAATGATACTTTGCTTTTTTTTCCAATTATTTTCCATTCTCTATAACTTATTTCGATAATTTCTGATTTATTTCATAGTTCTTCATTTCCTTTCTTCCATTTTTCTTCTCATTTCTTCTAGATGATTTATTACGGGACAGTCTGCCATGATTCATCAAAATAGTCCAGTAAAAGCCAAAGTAATGCGTAAAAATTGCAATGTCTTCTATTTATTTATTGCTTTATTTCTCTGTTTGTATATTATCATATCAATCACGAGGGCCAATTCTTCAAAGACAAGGATCCGGAAAAAAACTATTGGCCTATTACAGGATTTACTGCCGTATGCTTTACTGCCGTTATAAACATTTATTTACAAATAGTCTTTTTGGGCAAGTTAAAACACAAGCTCTTTCATAGTAAATTATATGATTATATCAGATAATTCTAATGATCACAATATTAACTTTAATTTGATTATTTTCTATGTCAAAGGTTTGTTTTCCGTGTCAAATGTTCGTGAAAATATATTGAAATCTAACTATAGTTTGTAGTCTATTTTATATTTTGAAAGAAAATTTTTCTATTTTCTAGCTCAAAGGTTCTGTTTTCATATCAAAGGTTCGTGCAAATACATTGAAATTTATCCATAGTTCGTAATTGAACAGATAAATTAATGAAAAAAATTATTTTCTATGTCAAAGGTTTGTTTTCCATGTCATATGTTCGTGAAAATGTATTGAAATCTAACTATAGTTTGTAATCTATTTTATATTTTGAAAGAAAATTTTTCTATTTTCTAGCTCAAAGGTTCTGTTCTCATACCAATGGTTCGTGCAAATACATTGAAATTTATCAATAGTTCGTAAATGAACAGATAAATCGAAGAAAAAATTTTATTCTCTTGCTCAAAGGTTTATTTTGTATGTCAAAAGTTCGTAAAAATACGTTGAAATCTATTTATAGTTCGTAATTAATTGTATGTACTAACAAAAAAAAAATTCTAACGGGTGGTCCATAATGAATGACCCTCTCATTATTTTGCATATTTCTCACCTATAATTCAGCTAAGAAAAAAATTTTTTTTTATTGAAAGATTCCTTGTCAAATTCTCTACAAAACGTAGATATTTTTATTATCTTAAATAATTTCCATTATTTTGTAACATGCGATACAATCGATTNACCAATATTGATTCATAAAACTCTTGCTTATTTTTTTTATTAATATTTTTTCTATGCTTTACAGATAAATAAAACAGCATTTTCTATTTTGCCATTTTAGTAGCATTTCATTTCATATCACCCCGGAGGTGTTTTGAAGGGTAGGTGTTCGGTGAATAAAATTTTATTCACCGAACACCTACCCTTCAAAACCCCTCCGGGGTGATATGTGGGATGTTTCAATTGTGTCATAAATATTTGTTTACTATTCGAAGAAAATTTCTGAACAATATTTATATTTTTATTTCATAGCCTTTAGAATGATAAGTTATACATCATAAAAAAATCTGTGAATGAACTGTGCTGAAACTTGTATTCACATCAATACGTATAATACAACTTGAAGTCACAATAATCAGGGTTATCCATCAGGTTACTCCATCATTAGGATTCAAGATAATCAATTCAACCTTATAACCCATGCACTGAAAACAATATTTAGAATTGTACTAGAGCCAACACACTGAACAATTAGCTAAGTTGGGTTGACAAGATGAGCTCAGAAAAGAAAATAATTTTCGACATCTGTGATAGGTATTTTATCTGTAGAATACAATAAGTTTTGAAAAAAATTTCTCATGATTTATTTCAGAAAGAAAAATTCAGATAACATATACATAATCTTGCATAGACATAATATGCTTTAACGACCAAAGTAACACACACTTCCTGCCTAACGACAGAAAGGTAATGGAGCAATAAAAAAAGGTATAGAAAAGACAATCATCATTGAATAAACCACGATTGGTATTATGCTGCTTAAATAATTTGGTAATGTCCATAAAATGGAAGTGACGGATGTCTTATCATACCAACATATGCTCGATAATCTGTTCTGAACATAGATACAATAATATTATTATTTAGATCTATTTTAAACTGAAATCTTACTTGATAATCGCTTTGCTGGAGTCCTCCATACAATCTGATGATACTTTTGATGCGTGAACCGTTAAAAATTAAATATGTAACATTAAATTGTTCATCATAACACTTGTAATCGATACATCCATCGTCGTTTGAACAGTCTTCACATGTTTTCTGTCGATATGAATAATCGTCGACAAAGCATGTCGTATTTATGTAATTATTTTGTTTTTCACGAGTTCGAACGTATCCGACAGCACTATATGTTACTAAGCCAATTGCTATGCCATCGAAAACGACAAGAAATATGTACCATGCTATAAAAAATGTAATTGAAAACACATAAAATCTACTCATTTCGAATAATACAGGTAGTATTTTTCATTCAAGTATTTTATACGAGAATACACAAGAACAAGAAAAATCCTGTACAGTGTCACATATTTTAAGTTTACTTTCATTCTTTATTCACTAGAGCGTGGCAAAGAATAACGTCACTTAGACAATCATATTTTAAAAAATTACATATATAATTATGCAAAATAGCGTCATCGATTAGAGTAGATATTATGCAAGGGAAGGAAAAATTCTATTAGAATAACTTGCAAAAATCTTCACTAATTCTAGTTATTAAACTTTCATTTTTTCTTTTTCTTTTTTATATTAAATACATATCGGATAGACGTTATGTGTCGTAATCTATATGTACAATCTTTTTTTTATTAGAAATGAAAAACAAACATCATTTATATATATAATATGCATGAGACGAACGAAAAGAAGAGATGCAGAGCAGTAACTTTTCTTCGAGTCTCAAACTATGTAAAATAGTCGTCTATTTGATTAGAAGAATTATTTATTTTCGATTAACTATGATATTAATCATATACTTAGCGTTGTATTCAAGGGGGAAATGGCGGACTTTTTGACTTGAAGTTACTTTAAGCTATTTTAGTGATACTTTGAGCTACTTCAAGTATACTTTAATGATAATTTGAGCTACTTGAGACTACTTTAAGTGTACTTTAATGGTACTTTGAGCTACTTTGTGTTACTTACGACTACTTTGTGCTAGTTGACGCAACTTCGAGCCATTTAAAGCTTTTATGTAATAAGTCCAATCGCTATTTTTTAAATGCTAGTGTTTTAATTTCTTATGCTTTCGATAGATAATGGTATAAAATTGGAAGATTCCTTGAACTAAGAGAAAGAGGCTCAATAAATAGTAGAACAATGTTTTTAAAAATATTTTGTTTAAAAGAATTAGATACAAAGCAAAAAACATAATCGATTAGATACGTGTGTTTGAAATAAAAAACTACAGAAATGTTCAACTGCGACTTCTTTTTGTTAAAAGAGATCGTTGTGACTCTGATGTTATAACGACGTTTAGCATTATTCTTTGACTGTGATGTTGAAACTGAATTGATATTAGGTGTTATTTGTGTATTTATTGTTTCATCAGTACTTATCTGCATAGACGAGACACATGTTTGAGATGATGGAACTTGCGATACTGAAATCGTTGACTGTAGTTGTTGTTGTAATATCATTTGTTTTTCGGCTTTTTTAATTTCTTGCATATGACTACATCCGATAGTTTACAAATGTTTATAAAAATTCGATACTTGTATTTCTTGGTCATTTTTACATAATGAAATAACTTTGCCACATTTGCATTTGATCGTGGCTTGTACAACAGAATTTCGATCAAAATCAATATTTAACATAAAGTCAATACCTTCTTCTAAATGAAAATTTTCTAAATTTAAATTTTCTCTGTTTTCATTACACCACTTTTTTATTAAATTAAGAGCATGTGATTTATGTTCTGATAAAGATAATGAAGAAGTTCTTGCTTCCTGTATTGGCGTTGTCAAAGAAGAGATTAATGATGTATTGATATTCTGTTGTTGTTTTCTTTTTGTTGGATGTTTGAGTTGTTGATTTAATTTTTCTTTTAACGCTTGCTCCAGTGAAACAAATCCAGAGCTAACACCAGGTTTAATTAAAAATGTATCATTTTTCATTTTAAAGCCTAGTTGTTCTTTTAATGTATCTAATTCTTCATCATCAATATCTTGATTAAAAATATATAATGGATCTTCAATAAGTAATAATGATGATGTTATTTTCACTGAAATTTTATTCAATAATTTCGCTTCTGGTTCACCGAGAATAGTTCGAATAAATTGAAAAAAGTCGTAACCAGGCAATGACAACACATTCGATGGCAAATGATCAAAATGATAAGAAATCGGCATGACAAAGTTCTTCTATAAGAGAAAAACAAAAATTTATAAGAATATATGTCAGGAATTATGCTATTATTCTAAAATTGTTGAATTGAATGAATTCATAGAAAGAAGAGAAGAGACATAATCGATTTGTGAATAAAATTAGCCAATTGTAAACGATTGGTACTACATATTCATAAATTAAGGATCTCTACAAATAAAATAGTAAGGAGTTCTATGATTTCCTTAATGACTCATGACTCTTCTAAAACGATGTTTATAGGTCGGAAACGATGTGCTCAAACTACTTGTATATATATATTAGTGATTTTGAAAAATATACTAATCTTATTAGAATTTCTTTAAGGTGTTATTATTATGTCATGATCTGCATTTTTGTCGAAAACAATTTCGAAATATATTTATAAACGATCAATCGATCTTCAATACACTTGTACTCGAAATTTCTGTTACTTTATCATAATCATCAGCTGTTGGGGTTTTGTCTAATTTATTGTCTGTAATAAAATTTTCTTTCTTAGTGAATTAGTTCATGAAAATTTATTTTCTGTTTAGGCGCTTCTATATTTTTCTTTCTTTCAAATTGTGTCTTATGATAGGGCTTTCATCATTAATGCCTTTTCTGCTTTTACTGTCTAATGAATAATTGTTTTTTTTTAAACTAAATATTAAATGAATGTCTAGCTTGACAATTGTGAGGGGTTCCTAGCTAAGTTCTTCTTTCTAACTGGATGTATTGAAATAGCTTTAAAATAAAATATAGTTTTGATATTGTAATTCTTTAAATATTTAAGATCCCGTTATATATTATTCTTCACTGAAGTATTATAATTATTTTATATTTAGTATTGGCTTTACAAAAACAACTGTATTAGATATCTTACTATTGCTCTTTGACACTAACAAAAAGTTCAAGAAAAATAATATTTCAACAGCTGTCGATTTTTTTAGCTACAAGGTATTCATCTTGACAATTAAGTGGCTATATGCTCTATTTCGTAGCCGTTTTAGTTAAATAGTAAATATTGCTCAAATAAAATGTATTCGTCGAATGATGATGCTCTTCTTGATATTTCGATTTTACCTAAAGATATTTTTGAACGCGTCGATTGTGAATTTTATGATGCCGTTAAATCAGTAGCAGGTGATTCGTTGGTTAAAATTTTGAAAATGCAATTAATTAATTCTGCTGGAAAATTGTTAAATACTCCTGATGTATTTGCATTTCTTAATTTTGATTCAGAAGAGACCGGTGCTCTTAAACTTGAATCATGTTTTAAATCTAAAACTGGACAATTGGTTGTGAAGCCAGATATTCAAAGTAGTTCTTCATATCTTATAAAGTTATTGAAGAAATCATTAAAACAAAAACAGGAATCAACATCAAAAGAAAACAATGACAATTATCAAAATTATATAACTGATGAATTTCTTGATAATCATCCACTGTTAAGATCACTTATTAAAAGGTTTCAGCTTAACGATTCAAACGGTGTTAACCAATCAAGCCGATTTTTAACATCATTTATTGACAATTTAATAAGCAACTTTACGTAGTCTCCAAACAATTTTAGATATAGTGAACCAATTAAAAATTTTGCAGTATGTTTATATGTTTTAGGTGGCAAACAGGCTTATGAATTTATTCGTTTGAATCTTTATGGATCTATTCCTAATGTAGCAACCCTTGGTGATTTAATTAAAAATTCAGACACCGCATTTAGTGAAGCAAAATTTCGCTTCGAATCTCTTCACCGATTTCATTTGCATTTTGTTTTTTTGTTCTGAAGATACCACTGGTGTAATCCGTAAAGTTAAATATGATTCTAAACCAAATTCCTTCGTCGGATTTGCTACACCAATTGATCATGGTGTTCCATTATCACAATTTTATCGAGCTGATACATTTAATGATTTAAAAACAATTTATGATACAAATGAAATAGCACCGTTATTGAATGTGCATATGTTGCAAACTATACCAACTGAAGATGATGCACCATGCATTCCTGGGCCATTGTTGTTATCTGCGTATGGTGTTGACAATAAAATTACTGCAACCAATGTTTTGAATCGATGGATGTATATTTTTCAACATTGTTTCGAAAAAAACGTTCGTATCATATGTTTTTCCACAGGTAAACTTTAAATTATTCATGCTAATTAAAACGCTGTTTTTATTTGTGAATAGATGCCGACAGAAGATATGCAAGCGCTATGCAACTTGCAAGTGGTTTTTTTGCATCATTGTCAAATTTACAATTAGATATGCATCAACATGCATTTCGAATAGATCTACCAAAACATTGGACGTGATTTTTCCTTCGAGGCAACCAGCTGTTATTGTTTTTTCAAGATCCAGTCCATCTTGTTACGAAATGGAGAAACAGGTTACTATCATCAACAACTGATTTATGCTTTGGAGTCGATAAGATCAATATAACACATATCAAAGCATTGATTAATGATAGTCATTATACAAAACTGGATCATGGTCTTACTAGCAGTGATATTAATTCAAAAGATCGTCAAAATTACAACTCATGCATTAAATAAAAATTAGATGATGTGATAAACCTATTGATTAATAGTGAAGATACAAATGGAACTGTTGTTTATTTAACTTTACTAAAGATGATTGTGAAAGCTTATATTGATAAATCAACATCCGTTAGTGAACGTAAGTTTATTTTCTATCTGTAAAAACAAAAACTCTAGACTTACTTATCTTGAACAACTTCTATATATTTAGGCATACAATCGACATGGTATGTCGTGTTTGTTTGCCGTATATGGTGGTCGTGGTTAAAAATAACATCGTTTTCTAGTTCATCAAGAAGCAAAGCAGCAAGTGAAAGGACAAATAACGTAGACAAACGTTTTATTTCAAAGCCCGCATATTTATCTGTTGAGTTAAATGCACACAATCTGCTTTATCTGGTGCTTTTAGTAAAACAAAAAAAAATTGCCTAAACAAGCACTTGTCAATATACACTTATTTAGTTCTCAGCCATGCGAGTCTATCTTTAGAGACGCACGGTCGTTGAGCGGTTCGTTTTCTACCATGGTCTACTTTACTGTCAACAATTTTATTAGACGTGCACAAAAATTATCAATATTAAATGAAATCAAATATAATCAATTGAAAAATCATTTATCTTTTCCAATACACCATAAACACAAACAGGATGATCCATTAATATGTACAAATCTATTAGATGAAATAAGTACATTAAATGTTGAACAAATTATTTTAGACGCATACCATCAAGCAATTAATATCGTAAAACATTCAAACATGTTACACATACTAAACCAAAATAGTATAGCAAATTTGAAAAATTCAAGTGATTTTGTATTTGATTGCTTAAAAAAAGGTCAAAAATGTATGGGTATTCGTCACAAACAACGATTGATAACAATGAAGAGCTTGAATCAGATAACGATGGAGATGATGAACACGAAGACGCAGAGAGTGACGAAGCAGATTAACTTTGTGATGATTTATTAAATTCTGACGATGATTGTAATGACGAAGAAGAGATATTAAATTCAACAAGATCAAACTTTGATGGAATAAAATTGTTGATAATATTAATCCTATCCAGAAACACTCTTATTTCAAGATCAAAATAAATGATAAAATTAAATATCTTCACAAACAATCAGCTTGTTGGCTATTATCAAACAAATCAACAAGATTATCAAGTGATCGTTTATCTCGGGTTATGCAACAAACAACCAATATTGATTCATAAAACTCTTGCTTATTTTTTTTATTAATATTTTTTCTATGCTTTACAGATAAATAAAACAGCATTTTCTATTTTGCCATTTTAGTAGCATTTCATTTCATATCACCCCGGAGGGGTTTTGAAGGGTAGGTGTTCGGTGAATAAAATTTTATTCACCGAACACCTACCCTTCAAAACCCCTCCGGGGTGATATGTGACGTAGTTTTACTTTAGAAGAACTCTTCACTCACTCTAATATACTACTCGGTATACTTGAAAGTACTTGGCCGTACTTTTTAAGGTACTTGATGGTACTTTAAAGGAACTTGATTGTAATTTAATGATACTTGAGAGTACTTTATGATACTTTTAATGTACTTGGAACTACTTTTACATACTTTGAGCTACTTTTACATACTTGGATCAACTTGAAGTTACTTTTGTACTTTCACATACTTTTGTACTTCAAGTCCGCCATTTCCCCCTTGAGTCCACTGCGTTGCAACTCGAAGACATTATTCACTCAACTATAGTAATACAGTTATTGAAAGTTCAAAGATACTTTCTTCACTAGTATTCTATGTAGGAGATCGTACTGCTTCACGCTTTCTTTTCCGAAGAATAGAAAGGAGATGACACAATGCTTAATAGTAGGTGAGTTTATCAGAAGTTAGATAGACTCATAGCTACCATGATCGCGATTTCGACCTTGCTTAAGGGTCTTGTCCGATGGCACGTAGGCAAGATGAATCATAGCAATAATAGAAGAAATAATAATCATTTAATGAAGTACTGACGAATCTGATGATTTGTTATGATCTGTTTCCATTCTTCGTTCTGAATTTGAATTTCCCTTTGCACAGTGCTCTTGTTCGAGGAAGTTGTATTGACTTCTAAAATGGATTGTGCTCTTCGTTAGTATAGTATGTTACCCTGGCAATCTAAGAATGATAGTAATTCTGTTTAAATGATTATTTAGTCCATTTGATAAAGAAATATTCTTTTTCTCGATGAAATTTAAAAAATTAGCTGGATTTCATAGTGTCTACCAGATTTGAATCATTTGAATCAGATCAATATCACTAATATCCAAAAATCAAATTTGTTTGAATATTTATTCTAATCAGGCGTCGAGCAAAATTAGTAAAATACATATCGAAATTGTCTTCTGTTATTGTTGTTATGTTTATGAATTCGATAAGTGGTAAGGCTAAATGAATGCCTCTTTTAAATTTTATACTGGCTGAATATTAGCTGAAATAAGAGAAAATGCCCAAATAAGAATACATATGATGCTACAAAATCAAAACAAAACAAAAAATATATAACATCTTCTCGCGCTCTGCACTATCGTCCATTCAAAAAGTAACTTACAAACAGCTGCTTTTCAGATTTTGAAACATAAATGTCTGTAGTTAGCTGGCCAAGTACGTTATCGAAAAAAAACTCATTATTGTATCCAAAAAGAGAAAACTAGCGCTAAATCATATTCACACTTTTTTTTCATAATGAAACAAAGTAAATCCTTTCCGTAATTGGAAAGCAATGAGTGTTCCATGGTACATGACTCGAGAAGTAATGACCAGATTTGAATATCTTAATCCTCTTTTTAACGTTGTGAAGAACGACTGTTTCTCAAAACAGATACTTGAACAGTTCTCTCTCTTTCTTCTTCATGAAACCTGAGCGCACGCATAAACATACCCAAATTCGATGTGACACTTGAAACGGCTGGCTGCTGAAGCGAAAATAGTTTTTCGAACGTCTTCATACACCAGGGTTTTTTCCAGCTTCAATAAAAAAAAGCATTCCCAAGTGGTTTAGTTCCGTTTCTGTGGCTGATTGTGAAACCATCAATATAGCTAGCAACAGCAAGCATTTTAAATAAACGTAGGATAATCGCTCAAATGTAACACAACATACGTAAATACAAAAGGCATTCAGATGATTTATAAATCGGAGTGCGTTTGTCCACTGATTGTGCTCACAGTCGTTTCAAATGTCAAGCGGGTAAAGGGAATTTCAACTTTCAAATTGACTTGAACGCAAGTCAGAATGCACACCTGGTTCAATCGCAATAATCAAGCATAAAGTTCAAAACAAATCGAACATGTACTTACACTACGTTTACATTGGCACGTTATGCATGCATAAAAGCCATTCATGCATGAAGTTTGTGCGCACATAAGACAGTGCAATTGCAGACGACAGTTTCTCAATGCATGGATATTTACACACATTCGCACGTATGCATGCATAGAGAGTTAGCCATGATTAGACGCCCGTCCACACTGCAAAGTTAAGCTTGCATAACATGCCCGTGTAAACGTAGTGTTAGACTCGTAATCGTATCTCTGTAAATATGGTGGCGTTAGTTTCTGACTGCGTTGGTCTAGAGTCTCGCAAATGTTTGCAAATGTGACAGTCGAGTTTCTATGCCAAGGAATGAGCAAACATATCGAGAAGTTCTGTGGTTCTATTTATCCAAACAGCTGCGGATGTATTGACGAGAAAAGGTGAGTATATGACATTAAAAAAAGAATCGATTTGTGATGAAAGGTTCTTGTGCGTTCTTCTCTATTCGTTTTGGTTCTTTTTCGCCTAATTGCACTCATCACTCCCTCATTACCTGCTTCCCATCGAGCCCGAAAATAGAAAATCCTTGATGAAAACGAGTGAAACACATCGGTGAATAATGCAATATCATGAATGACAGAATAGTACCCCCGTTGACGGACAGAGTGTACTGTGAAGACGGGACGGGCTACTCAAGCATGGACACTTGCAGTGCCATATTAGATCAGGGAACGACATTTTTACGTTAAAAACTATGATGAAATGACAATAATTTTAAAGCTCAGTGTATCACGAAAACGCAAAGGCTCCGTGAAAACGCGTTTTTTCGCGTTTACATTTGGCAACAGATTACTTTCGAAGAGAAAGATGAAGAGCTGACTTTTGCGGGCACTATCGATTTCTCTCAATGTCATAAGGGTCTTTCGACGAATGTAGAGCAGTTCACTTTCGAGCAACGTAGACGTTGGTTGATTCTGTGATTGTTTATAGAGCGCATTGGCAATGTCTTCGATGGTTTCAAGCTTCACAGTTTTTCAGTATATCAATCATATCTCGGTACTCAGTCGACCGTTTTTGGCAGGGTTAGTGTCATTCGATAGAGCATCTAAAACTGCTACAGAGATACTATCGCAGCCAACTTTCTTATTCCTCTATCTAACGATAGAGTGAAAAGACCAAAAAGCCACTATGTCAAAATCTGCATCTACGACTAGTTTTGACTTCTAGCTCTGTTAGCTTTGTCGATCTGATAATTCTGATTGAAACGATTTTCAAAAGAGTTCAATCGAGTACCTGAAATATTGACCGTAAATAGGTCAAATGAAACATATTAAAATGTTCATCGAGTAAATAGACATTTTATTCACTTGCTATTCGGTTGTAAAAGCTGATTGAAATCACGTTTTTTTTTGTTAAAAAAACAAGATTCGTCTCGAGATTGAAAGTCTGCGTTGATCAATTTTCATTCGATTGAAATCAAGACAAATCGTTACATTAAAAATCGATTCGGTTGATTTCTGTAATATTTCATGAAGCGAAAAATGGTGTTTATTCAGACTTCTTTCTGAGATGCAGACTTTGATGAAAAGTGAAAAAAAACGACTGCCTTTTCAGAACATCGAATTGAATACGGCAGATATGTATTTGAACTTCCTAGTTTGGCAAAAACTCACGAAGATAAAATATTAAATAGTGAATTTAGTTTTAAAGGTTCTTCCATCTATTGGTTTTTTAATATTCAAGTCAAAAAAATTCCAGTGAAGATTTTGAACTATGAATTTTTAAATCGAAACAAATTTAAAAAATCGAAAGGTTCAAAAATCCAAAACTTTTTAAAAATAAAATAAAATATCAAAATCCAGGAAAAAAACGAATTTTTTTTAAATCCAAAAATCCATAGAGAATTTGGCAATCGATTTTTTGTAAGTTTAAATGTCCACAAATTTACGGAGTTTAAAAGTCCAAGATTCTGCTTAATCGAAACTCACGTATGAAATTATTTGTAGTTGAGATTTAAAGCGAGAAAAGTTGCCTCCTTTTTTGCTAGCTGCATGCTCTGTACAAGCGAGAGGACCGTTTATTCAAACAATTGATGACGAAAGAAAAACACGAAATGAAAAATAACCAAGTGAATTGCAAAAGCATTATGCTATAAGCTCTTTTTTTAATAATTTGTCATGTACGAAGGTTGTTTCAGTGGATTTTCGCATAGTTAGCAGCAAGAGATTATTGTTTTGATTATTGTGTTTAGCTTCAATCGACATCGGCCGATTTGTTCTTTCTAATAAAGAAAATTGCAGATCGATAACTAGCGCGTTCTCCAGTTATTCATCTTTACTCTTGTTGTTTCTATTTCCAGAAAAATTCCTATGCAAATATATATGGATGCTAAACAAGACATCGGACCATTTCATTATGTAATCATTCTCCATATTCGCTGTTATTGATTAATAATTAGGCGCAAAAACTTTCTCGCTATCCGAGCATATAGCCCTAAAGCTCCTCTACTGAATCTGGAAATATGAGCCTTGAAAGTCATAAAACAGGCTATCTGACATGAAAATAAATACAAAAAGAATGAGGAAGCGGTTCGATACTTTTTTAAGAATCTGTAATATTTCGAAGTTCAATATCTCAACAAAAAAAAGTTTTCATCTCGACTGAAATTGTTACTATCGCCAAAGATAAAAATATCTAATTGCACTTGAATAAGACATGCCACATATTTAAAAAAAAAAGGTAATTGAATCGCTCCATTGATGATGAAATAATACTTCTAGATATTTTGTCCGAAATTAAAAACGTTTACATTGATTGTCAAAATTGACTACTCAGGCGGAATCATACACGCGGTGGGTGAAATTCAAGCGCAACCAGTACCCGGTTCTTTTCGTGAACATTTGCAACAACACACCATACTCTGTACCACACCGGCCACACTTCGCCTTCGGCAATTAAAATCGATGTCCACCGAAAGCAAAGAGGCGGGGAACAGAAATTTGGTAGGCTCAAGTGTGTCAGTGATGCGAAAAATCGCAAGCGAGGCCAATGAACACTAAATCCCTCTAATAAAATGGCAAGCACTAAGATGACTTGTTGGAAGATAAAATGGTTTGTAGGTGAGATGAATAAAGTTTGGCAAGTCTTGAAGCTCCGATATTCATCTATGAGCTAATATTTCCGAGCGAACATGACACACTGACAGTGATTGTAAATTGGTGAATTGATCAAGTCTAAAACTATAAGTAAAAAATTGGCTGACTTCTCGAGCGGGAAAACTGGCTTACCGCTTATCGTTCTTTATTTTTTTAATTTGATATTCTCATCTTCATCAACATCATCCATAAATCTCTGAATCTATATATATTAACTGCTGCAACGAATTATAAATTTTTTTTTCACATTGAACACCTATTCATGCAGATATTTGCAGGTACTTCATGTTAATCAACCTCGAAACAACTATTCAAATGTCTATAAACGAATCAGATAGCCATGAAAAAGTGAAATAGCTAGGAAACAAACAAATACTTATAAATTTATCAAATAGCTTTCGAAAAGCCGGATAGCTATGAAAAGCCGAATAGTCATGAAAAAAGCCTAATATCTAGGAAAAAAAAGGCAAACAATCAAACTATCCGAATTGTTATCAATTATTCAAATAGCTATTAAACATCCACCGAAAAGGCTATGGAAAATTTAAATAAATGCCACGTCCTGAAGGTCTTTTGTATTAAAAACAATGTATCTCTGTTGAAAGTAAACCATCATGGGGACTCTCTTAATATCTTTGATATCTAGATGTAAGCAGCGAGAAAGAAAGAAATGAAAATATTTACTCGGTTATCTTTATGGAGAATAAGGTAAGACGATAGAACCTTCGCATATAGCAAAACACCAGGTAAAACGGCTGCGGCCGAAGAAATGGCCATCTCTGTTTTATTTATATCTCAACTTGTGCTCATCGCTTAGAATTATGGATGGGTAGAATACCTGCGGAGCCACGTTTTTATTAATCCATAACAAATGGGGAGCAATTCAAGCGAGGTCAGCGGTGTTGAATGTGCTGCCTGTCAATGTTGTTTACCAGCCAATAACTGGGAATTCGACATCGTATTATTCAATACAAAGTATAAAACACATTGTTTCTATACAACGACAAGAAGAAAAGGAGTGTTTGCGTGTGCTGTGTCGACTGAATTAAACGGTGCTGTTATGACAGCTTCTCAAACGGTTGAACGTGGTGAAAAACTCTACTTGTACTTCCGTCGAGATGGCACGCGTAAATACTTTTGTTGGGATTGTCTGTGTCAAAAGGATAATACTTGGGCAAAATCATTATATATGAGCTTAATTGATAAAGTTTACATTATTAACTACATTATATCATCGAATGTACATTAAATAGGACGATTCCCATGTCTCGTTTTCTGATTTTTACTGTTCCTTGTTTTTAAAAGATTTTCTGTTCTGTTTGCTGAGAAATTGCTCAAGAGATTATTCGAGAAATGCTATGCCCGTTTGGGATTTTGGCTATCTGGATGAATCTACGAAAATGGTCTACATCAGAACAATATTGAACACATGTCGGCATCTCTGGACTGATCCAACTTTGTTCGATCTTACCGTTCGACTACTTGTCGACTCTCAAAAATCATTTTCGCGAACTTGAAGATGTTAGAAATGTGAGCCTACGAGATATTTCTCGTTTTTGTCGTTTATAATAGAATAAGATTTCAAGTCATCAAAAAGCAAATTATAAAACACAAGCATATATTCTCCGCTGTGACACATCGAATCTTATCGAAGCAAGTCAGTTATCGTCGTTTATAGTACAGGTCATGGGTAACACAGAGGAATAGTCGAATGGCGATCATGGTCAGATCTGGCGGATAAGCTGGAGCGACTATGTCATGCTCTTGACACATTATTTCATAAATTGATGACAGATCTAACATCACCTGTATCTAAACCATCACCAATGATAACTTTACTCAGAAACGGAATAATTGATACGCTTAATGGTCCGGTTGACATTTTTCCAGAAACTTTAATAAAAAGAAGTTTTGATCTTTTTCGGTCATTCAAGATCTTAATCGGGCAATAGAGTAGCTGTTCATCTTGTAAAATATGAATGAAAGAGGAAAGAGTTTTTGAAAAGTAAAATTGCTAGTTTTATTTTCGGCATAAAATTCTCTATCCGATGAGTTTGAAGGAATCTTTGGAATGTACGCAGTTCGAGTGAATATTGATAACGGGAAACTGACTGCTCGAAAGTATGTTCTTTTTCACGAAGTGATTCATAGTCTCATCAGTCGTTCATGGTGTGTACAAGACATTGACGACAATTGATCAATATCAAACTATAACACTCCCAATGTGACCTTTTTCGAATATGAAAAATATAAACCATAACGACTATCCTTTTTGGTATGGGTAAAAGAGAAAAGTGGGCTATGCAAGATTTCGATACATTTTGTGACTAAGAAAAGCTCGTTCTCGGTTAAGACAAAATGTTCATTTAAGGTATCCCCCTCAGAAATGCCGATTTTTTCAAAAAAGTCAGCATTGAGTTTTTATCATAAACAGATGCGCCTTATTTACTTCTTTCAGAAGCTGTATTTGGGTATGGTTTTTTCTTACACCCACACCCTTGCTAGAGAGACTCGCTTCCACCAAAAATTGATCGGTCGTTCCGCCGACTGCTCATATAAGCGAGGTGCCCATATAGAGAGATTTTACTGTATATATATGTCAGTCATATTTATTTTGTTTTATTTTTCTACGCGCGCAGCAGCAACACGTTTACAGAACTGTGTTTTGTATTGTTAAATTTTCTGAGAGTAAAAATACTAAATAATTGTAGCGAAGCTAAATATGGTAAGAACTCTTTTATTAATAACTGATTAAAAAGTGATTTAGTAATTAATCACGGATTAATTATTTAAATATTTACAAAAAACACAGAGATGTAGAATTGTATCATGTTCGTTTGATTTTGCTCTTCTATTCGACATACAAAGAAGCAGCGTGAGTTAGAGGTTCAATTAATGATTCCAATGAGTGGCATAATTGTATGTACGAAGCATCAAGTTATATGATGTCTAAATCTTTAGGATCATTATTAGTTACAATTATTTGTCATTGTAATTCTGCAAATCCTTTGCAACTTGTCAAATATTTCAAAGAAAATATGATTGAAGATTTTATTCAACAAGGAAACAGTGTAGAAAAATCTCTAAAATGATGCGTTAATGATATACGAATGCAAATTCAACAAGATGGTTTCGATTTTAATCAATTTTTACCGTTTTCCAATTTCGAAGGTATTTCACATCGCGAAGACCATTTAGTTAACTGTACTGTTAATAGTAATAGTTTATTATGGAATGATCTTAATAGTGATCAACTTTTAGCTGCGGATACTATTTTAAAATCGATAGCCGGTTTCAACTCGCAGAAATGTTTTTATTTAGACGGACCCGGTGGAAGCGGAAAAATGTTTTTGTATTATGCCCTAATTCAAGAAGTTAATCTCATTGGTAAAAAGAAATTAACCGTTTCATGGACAGGAATAGCTGCTACTTTATGACCAGGTGGAATTACATGTCATTCAGCCTTTAGTTTATCCTTAGACTTTTCCACTGTAAAATTTCCTAGGATTACTCCAGTCAAAAAAAGAACTTTTGAAATCAATAGATTTTCTTATTCGGCATGAAGCTTCCATGGCACCAGGTACAGCTTTAGAAATACTTGGTTTAATTTTTCAAGATTTGATGAGTATTCAAAAAGCTTTCGGTGAAAAGGTTATTGTGTTATGGAGTGACTTTCGGCAAGTGCTGCCAGTTATTAAGAATCTCGATGTGCCATTACTGCTTCAATAATCAAAAAAATCTTCTGTTTGGCCTCTTTTTCAAACATTCAAATTAAAACGCAATATGCGAGCTATCACAGACCCTACTTTTTCTAAATGGCTTTTAGATATCGGTGATGGGATGATAACTTTACCAGCAACACCTAAAACCCCAAACTCAATTTTCAGTTGAAGTTCCGATTTCTTTAATGTCTAATGACATCGTTACAGATATTTTTAGTAATAGTTTTACCTATACTGATGTTGAAAAGTTTTCAAGACGCGCAATTCTCTGTCCAAGAAACGAAGATGTTCGATTAATTAATGAATCCGTTTTGATAAATTTAAAGCATGTTGAAAAAATGAGTTTTTTTTGTGCGATTGGCTCTGTAAAAAATGATGACGATGTAGACGATCATAATTTACAAGTCAATATTCCGGTAGAATTTCTAAATACTTTGAATCCATCTGTATTACCACCGTACAAATTAAATTTAAAAATCGGTTGTATAGTAATGTTTTTGAGAAATCTGTCGGTAAACAAAGGACTATTCAATGGAACTAGAATGATTGTTAGAGCCTTACATCAAAACGTGCTTCAATTGGAAATTATTACTGGTTCATTTTTGGGACTGTTTATTTTATTCCTAGAATTTCTCTGGATACATCGAATGATTCAGCACTTCAATTCAATTTTGTTAGACATCAGTTTTCAGTTCGGCCTGCATATGCGATGATAATAAATAAGTCTCAAGACTAAATTTTTGATAAAGTTGGCCTCTATCTTCTAGAACCATGCTTTTCTCACGGTCAGTTCTATACAGGATCTTCAAGAGCAACGGAATCTAATGGTTTAAAAATTCAAGTAA